AAATTGAAAGTTAAAAATAAAAGATTTGGGGGAAGAGAATGGCTGCAAAGGGACACAGGAGCTTTGGGGATGGTAGGAATGTCTAGATCATGTTGTGCTTGTGTTTACCAACTGCTCATGTTTGCCATATCGATTTGTACACTTCACGACTGGTGACTCTTACTGTATGCGAAATACTTCAGTGGAGTTTAGTTGAAAAGGTTTTCAAAAGGCTCTGTTTGCACTAAAGGCAGAAAGTAAAAGGGTACTTGCATTTTCCTCGAGAAGTCTGTGGGGAATGTTGGTGTTATGGTTGGAATCAGAGCATCTGGTGAGGTTTATTTAGTCCAGCCAGCATGGACAGAGCAACAGATGAAGCCAAACAAGCTCCCTTTCAGAAGCATAGTATGTCCCCAAAGTCTTTACTTTAAACATTATTTATAATGACACAATACTCACATAAATAATTAAACACAAAACTCAATGACATCTTCATATTATCCCAGATCCTGAGAATATCATTTACTGTCACAGAAATTTCCTTTGGTTGATGTGGAGAGTTTATATGTATAACACATGAACAGTCCAAGCTCCCACCTGTACAAGCCGTTAGCATCCTTCATGCGCCATATTGATACCCAGCTCAGACCAGCTCTCCTCCAGAGGCTCCGCATTCCCATTCTGCCTGTACCACCTCATAACCTCCATTAAACTTTTATGACCATCTTCCTCATTAACAATTATCTGTAAACTATCCTTCTCACCAGAGCTCTTGGAAATGATTCTTGCACTGAGCACCATGCCTGGTACTCTGGAAAAGTCCATTGGATTGAACTGAACTAAGATGAAGGAACATTGGTATATTTACCATTTCATCCCCCTTCTTCTCCATACAGCCAGGAAATTCTCTGTCACTTTCTACCAAGGAACTCACACTATCTCCTCCATTTCCTCTAGTGGACTTCCTGTCCACAACACAATAGCTAGTTCTAAAATGGGATTTTGTTATGTTGAACCAAATAAAACTTTTGGACCCAGATTTTCAATGCAGTGGTATAATAGGATGAGAGACTTCAAAAACAGTTTATGGGTCAGAAACCCCTAAAAGAAACTCCTCCCCCCCCCCCCCCCCCCCCCCCTTTCCCCCCTCCTCCCCCCACACCACCCCCCCCCCCCCCCCCCCCCCCCCCCCCCCCCCCCCCCTCCCCCCCCCCCCCCCCCCCCCCCCGCCGCCCACCCCCCCCCCCCCCCCCCCCCCCCCCCCCCCCCCCCCCCCCCCCCCCCCCCCCCCCCCCCCCCCCCCCCCCCCGCTCCCCCCCCCCCCCCCCCACCCCCCCCCCCCCCCCCCCCCCCCCCCCCCCCCCCCCCCCCCCCCCCCCCCCCCCCCCCCCCCCCCCCCCCCCCCCACCCCCCCCCCCCCCCCCCCCCCCCCTCCCCCCCCCCCCCCCCCCCCCCGCCCCCCCCCCCCTCCCCCCCCCCCTCCGCCCACCCCCCCCCCCCCCCCCCCCCCCCCCCCCCCCCCCCCCCCCCCCCCCCCCCCCCCCCCCCCCCCCCCCCCCCCCCCCCCCTCCCCCCCCCCCCCCCCCCCCCCCCCCCCCCCCCCCCCCCCGCCCCCCCCCCCCCTCCCCCCCCCCGCCCCCCCCCCCCCCCCCCCCCCCCAAACAAAACTTTTCTGTTAAAGCACTATCAGGAAGGTTCAAACTGCTACACAACCCACAACTGATCACTTAAAATGGAAAATGACACCTCACTAGTGCCTAAAAGTACTCAACAATGAAGTAATGACAGCTGTCACCTACTGAGCACTAAATGTCAGGAAAAGCCCAAAGAAGTTAGTCCATAGCTAAGAAACCCTGGTAGAGCCAGGGTTTGAACCCAGGCAGTCTGGCCAAAGAATATATATATTACCCCTACTCTAGTGTTACTGGCTAAATTATGTACTGTTGCCAAAAATGATACGTTGAAGTCTCAACCACTTATAGTTCAGAATGTAACTGTATTTGAAGATAAGGTCTGCAAAGGGGGGATTAAGATACAATGAGGTCCTTCCCTTGGGGCCCTAATCCAATAAAAGTGATGTTTATGAGGGGCTAACTGGACACCAGGGATGTGCATGCAGAGCAGGAAGGCCACATGAGGACACAGCAGAAGGCTGCTGTCTTCAAGCCCCAGAGAAACCAAACCTTCCAAAACCTTGATCTTGGACATCTAGTCTTGAGACCGTGAGAAAATGTATTTCCACTTTTTAAGCCTCCCATCTGTGATATTATGGCAACTCTAGCAAATGAATATCAGTGGCATTAAGTTAAATACCAATTCCCCTTCCTTCCAGAGAGTTCCAAGATAAGGTGTGCATACAAAGTTAAGCCATTGGGTTGAGTTAAGCCACTCAACCCAATTAGCAAAACAACACTTCTCCAAGCTTCATTGAACATGAAAATCAATAAAAGATCACATTTTCTCCTTACACTCAACACCATCCATCAGTGTTATCAGAACTTCCTTTTGTCCTGTTCTAATCTAAGAAACTGACAAGGAATTTCTTTCTACTAAACCATATCCTTTATCTTGCTCATCTCCTCCTTATGAGAAGGCGTCACACTGACATCTTGCAATTACTAGTCTTAACCAAACAGCTTTTATCTTTCCCTACTGGACACTTGATTCCTGCTTTTATTAAGAGCAAACAGGATACTGCTCTACTGTGTGCACTTCAGAAACACTCATCATTGTTGCAAAAACATGCTCCATTGTGGAAGAGTTGGTGGCTTTGGGAGCTACTCCATGTTCATCTTGCGTTCCAAACTCCCACTTACAAAGTGGAGCTTTCATCTAAGGCATTTGAGTAGCGGATGCTCAAATCCACCCACTATGTATGTAGTCTCAGTGAATTTTCCACCGAAACCGTATGTCATCAAGTGAAATAGTCTAACCTTCCCTGGCTCATGTATCTTCTGAGTCATTGCTTGAGAAGAAGAAATGGACTATGTATGCCACACTGAAAGAAAGCAGAGGTTTTAGGCCCATCTTTGAAGTTTGGGACAGCTCCATGAGGTTTGGAGACTGTATTTTTAACAGGAGAAATGTCATTGATACAATGTGCCATCCCAGTTGGGCATGATGAAAATGGGGTCCCGGGAGGTCAGGCCGGCGTGAGAGCGTTGGGGTAAGGGCTGGGCAGGGACCTGGAAGTTCAGGTGGCTGTCACTTGGATTAAAGTGGATTAAGACAAACAACTTCCTCCCCTACTTTGAGTACAAAAGAAAGCATTTTACATCAAGCAGGTTTATATTAGCAACACCGTATGGCTCAGCTTACAACATAATTTTTCATGCAAAGAGCCTGCATTTGTCAGACTCTTGGTATATTCCAGGCACTGTTCTTCACCCACTGACACAAATCTCAGCCTTTCAGAACGAACTAAGTAAGGTTCAGGGTGCCCTTGAAAGGAAAAAGTATGCAACTAAAGCCGGGTCCACCTGTATGGCTTGTGGAGCCTGGAGCAAGAGTACCAACAAGCGCTGCCTACTTACTTCAGAGTGTTAACCAAGCTAACCAACTACCATTAAGTCCTCCCCCATATCAACTGATGGCAGTCTAGAAGGCCAGGCTCAATTCAGTACTCTCAGACCTCTGAACCAGACATGGAAGGGCAGGACTGGCCACTGGACAGAATGCCTTCCTTCCCTACTTGGGTTCCTTCTCTCCCCACAAAGCCCTCTTGGACATACCAGTGGACCCCCAGCCTGCTTTCCCACACCCCTCCACAGCCTCAGCAATGACCAAGTCTGCCCTACTGGCTGAGGCCCTAACAGCAGGCTTGGGGCCATTGGGGCAGAGGATTCCATTAGGGCCCTGAGGGGGAGGAGACATCTGGGTGTTTAGCCCATGGTGGGGGAGGGGGATCTCTGTGAAGAACCAGAACACGCAGGCCTTCTAAACCCTGGAGTTAGATGCAAGGGGCTCCTTTGCCCAGGTCAGGTCTGCAGCAGTGCTGACTCTTTTATGCTAAGGAGATCCATTTGTCTTTCCTGAAGCTTTCTGGGAGGGCAACTACTTACGTTAAAAACAAATAAACACAGACAGTAGAAGAGAGGAGGATTCCTGTCTGGAAGGGATGCAGAAAAGAAGCTGAAACACATGCAGCTCTATAGAAAAAATATAGACAGCTGATGTCATGGTGTGCAAGAAGGAAAAGGTCACTTATTCCTTGGGCAGTGAATGAAGTGAATGGCATTTCATAGGAGAGAAGAGGTGACACTTGCCTTAGGCATAAATAGGTGCCTTAAACTTTTTCTTTCTTTGTGAAAGGCTTTGCAGACACCAAAAGAGCCAGGTGAAGAACTGGGTAAGGGATGTTTGGGTCTGTGCAAATGGAAAGGTCGCCCACAGACACATGGTAGGCCGATGGAGGAAGTCGCTAGAGTCACTGCAGAGGCCAAGGGCATGGGGTCTGCTTTGCCTTTTCTCAACAGGGCAACTCTTGTCAGTTTTCCGGGCCTCTGTTTTTAATTCTCTAAAGTGGGGAGGGTTCCCGCCTGTGTCATCAGATGAGGCCCATAAGAACCCGGCCAGGTGTGGCATCTGATAAGCACCCAGTTAATGGTACTTTGAATTTAAGTGGTGCGCACCCTTCCCCTTCAGCTGAACCTGAGCTCTGAGTCAGGCAGTTCCCACCACCACTGACCCCACCATCCAAGTCGGGGGTCCGCAGAAGTTGTGTGCAGGAGGCAGAAGGGTCGGGGAGGCTCAAGGATAGAGGAAGCTCTAGGCAGAGGGGCTAGAAGCACTCAAGAGGCCAAGTGTAAGTCCTAGTCCTGTTTTGAGTTAGGGAAAGGGGTAAAACAAGAGGCTTCGAAAGTCGCACAGACGCAGGTGCAAAAGACTGGCGCCTTAAGGTGTCCAGCTGCCAGCATCCGCGGGCCCGGATAAGGAAAAAAGTGCAGGAGTGGGGGAGAGCGAAGGGGCACGGGCGGGTCACCCCGAGGGAGCTTGGGGCTCGGGGAGGCGCGGCCACTCACCGAGCAGCAGCAGCTTGAGCTCGCGGCGCGCGTCCTTCTTGTCCCGGCGCAGCTGCCGCTCGATCTCGGCGCTGATGCGCTGGGACTCCTTCTCCTCCGCCGACAGACAGCAGCAGCCAGCCATGGCGCGCACAGCACCCGACCGGGCGATACGGTCCTGAGCGCACTGATCCTCCGCCCGGCTGATCCACGCCAGGCACGGAGTTTTGAAGAGAAAACACCTGGGCCGATGTGGACTTTGGAGTGAGAGGCCCAGATCTCCTGGGCTTAATCCCTCCTCGGGGGTCAGCTCTGAGGCAGGGGCGAGTCCCGAGGGTGGGGAGCACTAATGTGCACCCCAGATGCACAAGCAGAGAGGTTGGAAACGTTGCCGGCTCCGGGAGGGTGCGCGCGCCCCTTGGCACAGTAACGAGACACCCACTTGGGCAACGCAGACCGCGCTTAAAAAGTTGAGGCGTCACTGCAGGGGGTGGGGGAGGCTGGGATCTCCCGGGTCCCCGGGTCTCGCAGGCGAGCAGCCGGCGCCGTGTAGGTTGCAGGCAAATGTCCTGGGTGGCCCCTGCCTGGAAAGTTCCGAAAGCTCAGCAGTGACTGCAGAGCAAAGCAGAATGGAAAGGTTCCTGACTGCGCGGGAGGCAGTAAGTGGCAGGAGGAGGCGGAGCGTCTCGAACCTGCAGCCTTGGCGACTGCCCGAGTTGGCCCTCGGGGCACTCCCAAAGCCGATGGTGCCTGGGGGCAAAAGGGGAGGAGGTTCGCGGAGCTGAGGTGGCCTGAATGTGCGAGGGCAGCCCTCACACCTGCTCCCTGGCTGTGGCGTCCCGGTGCAGGGAGGGCCACCTGCCAAGTTTGCTGTAACCAGCACGCTGTGGCCGCCAGCCCCTTCTCCCTGCCAGATCCGGGTTCCGACAGGTGAGCGACCTTCGCCAGCTCCCAGGCTCCGTGGAGGCGGCGGCGGCTGCAGCCGGGATGAGTGGAACCGAATGAAGCGACTGCCGCGGAATCCACAGCGCGCCAGCAGCGAGGCGGAGTGTCCGCTCCGCCCTGAAGTTGAGACTTAGACACCAGCCTCTCCACCGTCACCCGCGGGGTTCCTAGACAGGCTCCCCCGGGCTTCTCGGGCGCCCCAGGTCAGCTGGGCAGCCTGCCTGCGAAACGTCGCTGGGCCCGCGCCCGTGGCTCTGCGCTAGGAGCGGCCAACGCGGGCTCAGGTCTAAGAGAAGCGCAACGCCAAGGGTAAACACCCTCCCGCCCTCCCGCGGCGCCGGATGAGAGGACTGGACCGGGTGGGGGGGTGCAAACCCGATGGCTGCTTTGCATGTTAGGATGGTGCAAAGGGCTGGCACGTTCCCCCCACACCTGGCAAGGTCCCTGCCCCAGCCCTGAAGCCCGACAGCCGCGGTGGGAAGGTGCGTCCGCTCAGCTAAGGTGGCCCCGCTCCTAGGACGTCCGGATCATGTTTGAGCAACGCAATGAAAACATGGCAAATGTAAAAGCACCTCTTTGCAACTCAAATGGCACGACAGAATGAAGATTACGGCATCCGATTTGTGTTTGAGAAGATTTTGAGGCAGAAAAGGGGAAAGGGATCCTGTGGGCGACAAGGAATGTTCTTTTCCTTCTCAAGCCAGTGTGTGCCATGGGCACACATGATGGCGTTAGGCAATTACCTAACGCTTCCTCTATAAAGAGCAGGCCTAAGTGCCTTAGGTGTGAGTGGCATATATTTTATCAAGTCAAGCGTGTGAGTGGAGTGGAATGTCATCCTGTAAAGAACTTGGCACTGTAATGCTAGCTGGCTGCAAGGCCTTATTTTACAGTTTAAGAAATGTAGGCGAATCCGGCATTGAGAATGAATGTGCATACGTTCTTAAGTGCTTAACTCTGTAATTTCCGTGCAGGCATAAATGGACAAGAGCAGCGACCCCTACAGGAGAACTCCTGGACATTCCTTCCCCATTTAGTCACTGGCTTCCCTTAACTTTTAACAGACTGATTTACAATTTGAGAATAAATTCTCTTGGTTTCTCATAATTATTATTTAAAATTATTAAAACTAGAGCGAAGTTGAATTCCAAAGTAACTGCAAGAAATTAACTGGAATAACTGACCTGCTAGGTCATGTTGCTAAGACTTCAAAAGTTATGAACCGCCTAGATCACGGCAAGTCTTCCCTGGGATGGTCAATTTGGTGGTAAAATCAGAGATCTCAAATGTGTCCTTCCCCTTTCACCAAACTGGTAATCCCTCTCCAAACAAAGAAATCAGGGCCAGGCATGGTGACACACAGCTGACATCCCAGCACTCAGGAGGCGGAGGCAGGAGGAGTCCACGTTCAAGGCCAGCTTAGGCTACACAGGAGACGTGGTCTCAAAACACACACAGCAGTAATGGTCAGGCGGAATCCCCTGTGACACATCCATGTCCCCATGGACAAAGATTCTATTATGATGACAAAAACTCAAAATAACTGAAATGTCAAGTTACGATGTATCCATACATTGAGATATGTCATTAAATATTATGACTATGTGACTGTCAAATATAGTTGTGCACCACACAGGACATTTTGGTCAATGACAGACTGCATGTATTGTGGTGTTCTCACACCACTGCATCACCAGGCGGGGGGCGGTGTAGCTCAGTGGTAGAGCATTTGCCCAGCACATGTGAGGCCCTGGATTTGATCCCCAGCACTGAAAAAAAAAAGATTATATCTGTCTTAGTTTGTGTAAATACATTCCGCAATATTCATACATCAATGAAATTGTCTACACAGTTTTTGGAATATATTCCCATCATTAAGGGATATGCAGCTCTATACAAATAACAAAGAATTGGGGCAAATCATCAAAATATATTAAGTGATGCTGAGTGTGGTGTGACATGACTGTAATCTCAGCATTTGTGAGGCTGAGGCAAAAGGATGGTAAGTTCAAGGCCAGCCTGAGGTATGAGACCTTGTCTCAAACAAAACAATACATTCAATAAAAAAGGCAAGATACAAAAACATGAGAAGTATGATACAAATTTTGAGAATCTGCACTGTTAAGAGGAACAAATACGAAAAAGGTAGGTTGCTCTGGGTCATAGCTGTCTGGTTGATTTTAACTCTCTGAGAACTGTTGGGGGGCTACTCACAAAGTTATTTAGATCCCACTTTTCTCAACTGAAAACAAGAGGAATGGACCATAATAAATTCAAAGGGTTCACTCAACTCTCACAGTTATTTCTTTGATGGCTTTTAACACTTACAAAAAGGCATTAAAAATAATCATAAATCAAAGATGCTGAGCAGCTGGTGATCGACCTGGGATATCACAAGTCAATGGTTTTATACTTCTATGTTTTATTTCTCTCTCTTTCTCTTATCTTTAGGATGGGAGGTCAAATAAGAGTAATTTTATGTTACAAATTTAATTGAAATGTCTTTCCAGAAAGGGGTAGTTTTGAAGAAAAAAACCATTCTTGATGAAAGAGAATATCTGTTTTCCTAAATTATTCCAAAAATGCTGTAATTCTCTCTTGCTCCTTTTGCAGATTAGAGCTCAGAGTAGACATGGGTTTCAAATATCTGCCAATTGCTGGGCCCTACAGGTGAGCTCAGTGTCTGCTATTCCTCTGAATGTTCTCTGGATCCGTGCCAGCCCCATGCCGGGCATTGAGAATTCCCATAACCAGACAATTTCAGAGCTCAGGTCTACCAGAAGAAAGGAAGACTGAAACCCTGAAGCTGACCTACCCTTTCCAACCTCCCAGGGGAAGTGACGCATCCCCTACGCAACTCTCCAAAGCCGATTGAGGTGCACAGTGGACCCAGCACCAACTTCTCCCCAGGCTCAATCTCAAGGCCCATGGCTGTCCTGGAACTCCAGACAAATATCTCTGCGTGTTCTTCTCACCTCCATGCCCTATGCTTGCTGTTCCCACTTCAGGGAATGCCATCTACTATCCCAGGCAAAGTTAGATCAGTTCTTTTCTGAGAAACCATCCCCCCACTTCTTAGAGCCATTGTCCACAGCCACCTCAACACCTTTGTTTCTCATTTCACCATCTCACCTATCACACCTGTAGGTGTCTTCAAATCCATGCTGCTCACAGGTAGAGTTTTTCTTACTTATTCTGCTATTCTTAGATTAGCAAATTTTAGCAGGCTGAATGAAAATTGAAACCAAAAAATTCATCTGAATTGAGAGAAAAGAAGGTTCTTATGATGGAAGACAAAAAAAAAAAAAAAGGATCAATAAGCAAGTCCACAACACATAAGAGCATGAGTTAGGAAGAACTTGTGTGTATGCCCACCCCAGCTTGCCACCTGTCCCTAGAGAATGAGTGCTCTGTCTCCAACTCAGAGCTGCAAGGAAAAAAATAATAAAAGGCTGGAAAGATGCTACTCTTTTTTGCAAATGTATTACCTATTGCAACATAGAGTAAAGATACGACCTTGAGGAAAACTCACAAAGCTAAAATAGTGCTATCACAAATGCAGTTCTCTGTTACTCCAAGTGAGTGTTTTTCAAACTGCAGTGTGACTCATGCCTGGGTGATGACTGGTATTTCTTTAAAGACAAAGAGCAAAATAGAAAACTATCAAAGCATGCTGCATGTTCCATCATTTCATAATAACTGTGAGAACCAACTCTTCAGCAGACAGAGGATGGGGCTCATCTGCCCATATCCCAGAGGGGCGGGCCAGTGATTTCAAATTTCTAATGCACTTCTGTCAGTCCAGCGTGTTCCCAATTTTTCATTCAATTCTGTTTTTTCTTCTCTTTTTGAATTAGCATGCAATAATAAGAGGGGGTTCATCATGATAATTCCACAGATGTGCTAAGTCCAATGTGTTGTCTAAAATGGGCTGAGTCCTTCTCCCCCTTGCTCCCATGCCCTCCCATCATCTCCAACTTAGAGGGTGAGCATGGATGGGCAATGACGGATATTTAGATGAATGAATAAAATGTGCCTGGTTGTACTCAGCATCTATTTTTCTAAGGCAAGCAACATGTCAACACCGCTCCAAAATATTTTCTGCCTGAAACCTTGAGACTGTTTATTATATACCTTCTGCTGTAAGGCTGGAATTTCAGGTAGTGAAGTCTGTCTTCAAACACACATGACCATGAATAGGCAGGAATTACTATTGTTTGCTTCTGACTTTTCTTTTGCTTCTGATCCTTTTTAAGGATCTCAAAAATGAAAAAAAAAAAGAAATCTTTAAGATGAGGATTTACAGATTTTTATATTGGCTGTTTTCTTTTTGTTTTTGTCTAAGCTTCACACTCTTCTTATACCATTCTCATCTTGAATAAAGTGGCGCTGACAACCAAGTACATATGTGTCCTCTAT